GGTCCCTCAGGCATATCTGCTCCAGGCTCATGCCCCAGCCTCCTGCGGCTGCTTCCTACCTACAGCACCCTTAGAAGGCTAAGCTCTCCCCCTAGGGGTGGCTCCCTTAGATTCTATAATCCCGGGGCTGGGGAGATGGCTCAGTGGAATAAGCGCTTCCCTGGCAAGTGCAAGGCTCTGAGTTCAATCCCCAGTTCTGCTGAAAGGCCACTCCCTCAGGAGTCCCCATCCCAACCAGGCTACAACCCTGTGGACCCAACCCCCAAAGCCCCCCAGACCTTCTCCTCTTGGTGCTATCTGTTGGCCTGGAAGTCAGTTCTCGCCCTTTCTCCTTCAGGAGTTTGGGGGTTCCGAGAGGATTGAAGCCTCACCTGTGCCAATCCCAGTGCCTGACACGAGGGGTGCTCAGTGGATTACTGTTGGTTGAATGATTTTTACATCTGTATCTTTACTCAGGAGACTTTGGCCTGGGCCCAGCAGATGCCCCCAAGACTAACCCAAAGCCCTGTGATGATGGGATGTAATGACACAACCCCTTGACAGGTGCCCAGGCTCTGGAGGGCACAGGATGCCATCTTTTGTAATGGTGAGGACAGCCGGGTATGCTCTAAGGTGGGTAAGTGGGAGGGCAGCTGGGGCAGGGCATCAATTACAGGTCCCGCTCCCACCCTTCCCCAGAGTGGTAAACAGAAGCAACTCTGATGTCCCCCTCCAGCAGGTGTTGTGAGTTATGTCCCCCCACAAAGACAATGAATTCATTGTGTGTACCTGTGAATGTGAATGCATCTGGAAATAGGGCCTCTGCAGGTGTCATCAAATTAAGATGAGGCTAACTATGATTTATCTAAAACTCTATTCTTTTTAGTTGGGTTCTCCTGTATTTTTAATGGACAAAGGTGGAGCCCCAAGCTGGGAAGGATACAGGAGGAAATACAGGTTGAGAACCCACAATCCCAGCATTTCAAGACTCCCCTGGGCCCAGAGGGGGTGTAAACTGGAGAAGGGGAGGAGGGGGCGTGGCGCAGGGTGTGTGTAGGGAGGGGCAGGGTCTGGGCCAAGAGCCTGCACTTCTGAGGCCCCCATATACATAGAGCCCTATAACAAATAGTAAGAGAAAGGAGCAGGGGCTGGAGAGATGGCTCAGTGGTCTAAAGCACCTACTTGGAACAAGCTTGGCAAAGCACAGGGACCACAGTTCAATCCCCCAGCACCACATGCCAGCCAGCCCCGCCCCCTGGTGGGCTGAGCTGGCCACACACACACACACACACAATAAATAAATGTAATAAATAAATAAACAGCGGAATATATTTTTAAAAAAAAGAGAAAGGAGCAGATAAGAGGCACAAGTCTGGATGACTCAAGCAAAGGCCACCTTGGGACTTGCGAGGAGCCCAACAATGCATGTCTGAAGCAAGACTGGACTGCAAGGTGTGGGCCTGTGACCCGGAGTCCTGGAGGCTGCTGGGAGGCAGCATGGCCCAACAGTGCACCAGATGGACCACAGGAAGGAAAGACTAGTATTATCGAAGACAGACTTTTCCAACATCAAGGCCCCAAAACTGGATCGGGGACCCTGCAGGGGCTTCTGGGATCCACACCCAGGCTAGAACCAAGGACTGAAGGGTGAACCCTCAGTACCAGCCACCACAGGCGTCGCACTGGTGGGCCAGCCCTTGCTCAGGGAGATGTCACAGTGAGCCCAGAACCTTCCTCCCCTCCACCCCAACCACAGAAACTCACAGCAAGTCAGGCAAGAAAAGCCAACAGTTTATTTACACCTTGTCTGTACATTACAGTTCCCTGGAAGGTGCCTGCCCTGGAGAGCCTGCTCTCTTCTGGAGGAAAGCAGGCCTCAGGCGACGCGCTCAGGACCTGGGGCTCAGCCTTGGGGCCTCACCCCGCACTCTCCCCTCCCCAGGATCTGAAGTGGAGGTCCCACCCCAGTCCCTGAACTGTTTCCAGACATCGGCTCCTGGGGCACAAACACCCAAGTTGAATCCCATGGAGAATTAAAAGCAATCTAACCAATCCCTCGCCAACGAGGCCACATGGGCAGTGTTTTTGGCCTGGGCCCCAGGAGACCCTGCCCAGGGTGGGGAGAGCTGGACGGAGGGGAGCCAACAGGCCCAGTCCCCTCATTCACCGTCCCATCGAGGTCCTGACACAGTCTGGAGTTATTAATGGCACTCTGGTCTGAGCACCTTCGGCAGACGAGGGGGGCTGGGCAGGTACTAGGAGCAGGCAGGGAGAGTAGCAGTCTTCTTTCAGCCCGGCTGGGGCCCACAGCAGCGGCTGTGGCCTCCTGCCAAGCACTGGGCACCACCCAGCCAGGGCTCCCTGTGGGCGCAGAGTGGGTACTGTAGCTGCTGCAGCCTGGGGACATCCCCGCCGGGCCGATGCCACAGGTTCAAAGTGCACTCTGCTATCTATAAATATCCACATTGACACAGGGTGAGGTTTGCGGGAGACGCTGCTTTACACAAAATTACCCTTTTCTGGGAAGCAAGGCTTCTAAACTACCTGCAGGCTGGACGAGGGAGGAAGCACCCTCACCCTTAAGACAATGATGAAAAATTCTGTACAAAATGTCTACAAGACTGGGTGAGTTGAGGGGAAGTGGGCTGATCCTGGGGGTAGATGTGCCTGGGAGCAAGGCCGTACACGGTGCAGGCACGAGGCTACGAAGCAGACGCGTATCACACGTTTCCAGGGCTGGGGAGGGAAGGCTAGGAGAGGGACGTAGAAAAAGGGGCAGTGGGTAAGGTGGAGAATCCTGCACAGAGGTGACAGGGAAAAAGGCACACAGACAAAGACCCCAAACCATGCAGACAAAAATCACAGCTGTTTAGCACAGCAAAGCAGACAGTCCCAGCAGGAGACAGGGTCACCCCCGGACATCAGCACTTAGACCTGCAGGAAGGGGGACCCGGGATGTCATCCTCAGCCTGGGCTGACATCCCAATGTTACAGTCACAATGGAGAGAGGAGGAGCCTGCAGGGTTGGGGCAGTGAGGTCACATGGGATACCTAGTACCCAGGAAGGACAGTCAGATCCCCACCCCCACCAGGTTCCATCTTGGAAATAAACTTCTCGAATATAGCTGTTTTCTCAGAGGGCAGCTGGGGGGTGGCAGAAGGGGCTCAGGGTGGTCTTGCCAAGCAGGGAGGGCAAGCCCATGGTTTCAGTCTCTATGGCCTCCCCTGCTGCCCCCGTCACCAGTGCACGTGGAGCAGGGTGTCAGGACCAGCAAGTTCCTCAGATTGGTACTCCAAGTCACCTGGTGAGGGCATAGCCCCTCTAATTTGAGGCCCTTTGTGGGGCACACCTCAGTCTTACTGGCCTTAAATGCCACGTTAGAAGGGGAGACCATAGGTCCCGGAGAGGAGGCCAGGAGTAAAGGCTGTGGAGGCCAGCACCAAAGCCCTAATTAGCCCCTCCTCAATCGCCTCCACCTTGGTCCTCCTCGGGGTCTCTGGGGATCTTCACACGGTGACTACCCCAACTCTGCCCTATTCCAATCACATCTACACTTAGGTATAGAACTGCCCAGTGTCACCTACACAACACAGAGAGGATTTCTCTTTGCTCCACCAGGCTTTGTTTGGCTGACTGGTTCCTCAATGGGTCACAGGGCCTTGTTAGGCCAGGGATCAGATTGGCTAGTAACTGGCACCAGGAGCCTCCATGGCACAAGCAGTTTGCTGGCTGCAAAGAGCAGGGCCTTCCATCAGCTGCCATCAGGAAAGGGCAGATTCCACAAAATCAGTGTGTCCCCTGCGCTGTGGTATAAGCAGGAGGCTGCTGTGGCCAAAGCTCCTTTTCAGGGGGACAGCTCTCAGCTGACTGTTCTGCTCCCCCTGTGCAGTGAGTCTTGGTCACTATATCCCAATATGTGTCACATAGGACTCCAGGGGCACCAGGCAGAGACCCTGCCACCCACTCAGGCTTGCTGACCTCCTGGCTATCCCGAAGGCACCTGGCCTCATATCCTGGGGCAAGGACCATTCAACAGCAACTCTGAAGGAAAAATCCACCATCGGCTGGACCTGCAGGGACACGCTCTTCTCTAGCCTTGGCTCAACAGGCCCCGTTTCCTCTCTATTTGGCCAACATCCTCCCAGGACAAAGGGGTCTCTGTTTGAACTGCGCCCTGGCATCACCAGGGAGGTCTGTAACAGATCAAGATGCCAGGGCCACACCCATATCAGGTGAATCAGGATGTGTGTGTGTGTGTGTGTGTGTGTGTGTGTGTGTGGCAAATCAATCACCAGGAACTTTCAATAATCTCTTCAGGTGACTCCAGTGCACTCCAAAGGCTGCAGGAGGTCCTTGAGCTGTCTTTTTACTAAACCAAGAGGAAGGGATCTTCCTGACAATTCTCAAATGTACCAGTTTCAAATAAATGGACCTACATTTAACTCTGGACAATGCAGTTTAAAAACACAACTACTAACTTTGGCCCCCAGCAGAATGGATCGGAAGCTCAGTGGTAGGTAAAATGTGCACCTTTTTTCTTTTTGGTCCAGGGAAGCTATATTCCCCAGGTCTGTTTTTTGAGATAGCATCTTGTTGTGGTGTCCAAGCTGCTCTTAAACTTGCAATTCTCCTGCCTCGGCCTCCTGAGCAGCTGGAATTGCAGGGTGTGCAACTTCTCCTGGCTCAAAAGGTCCCTCTCCTACAAAACCCCTACTTCCCTCAATCACAGAAAAACTTCCTATAACTTTAGGCAAATTTCGTGTAATTCCTATTTGTTAGGGTGCCCAGGTTTGGCAACAAATAAAAACAGAAAATACCAAACTTCCCGGAGAAGACACTTAAATTAGATGCAGCTGGAATGCTATAAAGCACTTCAAGGCCTGAGCCACCCCTCCACTGATTAAACAACATCCGGTGATCCCAATTTTTACAAGCTTATTTTGCTGGGTGTGGTGGCACGGTGGTGTGTGCCTGCTGTGTTCAAGAGGCTGAGGCAGGATTGCTAAGCTACAAGGTGGGCTCAAAGCCAGCCTGAACTGCATAATAAGACCCTATCTCAAAATAAATAAATAAATAAATACAAATTAACCTCATTTTTATTATGTCCCAAGTACAGCATAGATCATATTCTAAAAGTTAAAAATTATGTGTTGTTGAAATCTATCTTACAGCTTTGGAGCTTGCCCAGGGGCTGGGGAACTGAGACCCTGGGCTCTCTGCCCTCCTCTGGTTAATGTTCAAGCCCAGAAGTGCATTTCAAAAACATACATGATCTTAAAAAAACAAGCTGACTTGATGAGACTTTATATGACATGCATGATAGATGGAGGAAGTAGGAAGCCTGGAATTAACTGGAGGTGCATGTTTCATGGAATTCAGTTCCTTGGCTAGCAGGTCCTCTTCCAGAGGCCTCTCTGGCCCTGGCCTAGGTCTAGGTGGCTCTCAGACTGCGTTGCCTAGCGCATTCCCTAGGAAGAGCCAGCACAGCAGGGCAGGCCAACAGCTTTCTGCCCCTTTTCCTTTGGCAGATCCCTTCCTCCACTGGATCTGACCACGCTTCTGTCTTCTCTGGAAACCTGTACCAATGCAGAAGCACACAAAATTCCCTCTATAAAATACTCATCCCTGGGCTAAGCCCTGCATGGACCAGGACCCTGACTTCACTGGCGTCTGAGGGACACCTTCCAAGAGCAAACCCTGAGGGATGCCATTTGTCTTTTACCATTAAGCCCTGGCCTTCTAGCAAATTCTCAAGATACCCATCCTCAGGGGGTCTTTGCCTGCATCTTCTCAGACCCATGGGGGAACCCAAGAGCATAGGCTCCTGGAGACCAGCCCTCCCCGGGTCTGCTGGGCGTGGAGGCTCCAGTCCTGGGAAGAGCAGTGCAACCCATGATTTGAAGGATGAAACTAAGCCCATACATGATTAAAAATTTGGAATCATGAAATTTAACAAAAGCACAAGTTGATTAGAATGCTATGAAGATCAGTCCTGGCCACATCCCTGTCTTTGTCAAGCAGGGAGCCCCCCAACCTGCACTGGGCTTCCGTGCCCTCCCTTCTCTGCACACACACCCTGCCCTCCCCAGAATGCCAAACCTTGCTTCTTACACTAGATGCGCTTAAGAGAACAAGGGGCTATGGGGAAGAAATGAAACCACATGTTGTTCACACTGATTTGGGTTAAGGAAACAGACCACAAGCTATATAAAATTGAGATAAACTGGAAAACTCAAAGGAAAGTACCATATCTACTCCCAGTCCCTGGAACAAAAAGATCACATTTAAAAATCCACAGTGTGAATTCTCACCATGGGTCAGAAGGGTGGAAGACTAAGGTTTCCCTGTGACTCTGACAACTGTACCCTGCGCCCTCCCCGACTCAGAAGAGGTCCTGGTGTAGGAGCAGGCATACAGGTCTGCTCCTCAGGACTAGAACGGAGGTCTCATTACTTTCTAGGGGCAGCCAGAGCTTGGATTCCGACACCCAGCCTGAGACCTGCTCTCAGCAGGCTGTGTGGGTCCACGAGGGGGTGGGTGGGCCTTGGCCATACCAAGCTGGGGAGTGGGATCCTCCCTAGGAATCATTTCTTTGGTTGCCTATGCCAAACACTGGCCTCACGCATGTTCCAATCTTTTTTCACTTTCTTTTTAATTCCTTTATTCTATACCCAAGTGAATGGTCCTTATATTTCACTACTTTAAAAACAAAACAACAACAACAAAAAAAAACAACTGAAAAGGGAGGTAGGTAAGTAGGGATAGAGAGAGCACAGAGAACCTAAACATGCCAAGAACCCGACCAGAAGAGGATGGCCCACGCAGCTGCCCAGCGAACCTGATTCCTCTGGACCCTGTGCACCCCAGGCACACAGGGCCACCCCAGGACAGGAGTTCCCTCATCCCTTCCCCCTCACCAAGCTCTAACACCAGGATGTGAAAAGCAGCCAGAGAGCCTGGGAAGGGCAACCTCACTCCTGGAAGGACCACCATCTTGGTCATGCTCCCAGCAGGTTGGGCAGGGGTAAGAGCCATCTCACTAGGGTATTTCCTCACCTCATCCCCAGAGGTAGAATCATTTTATCCAGTATCTGAAACACGTGCTTCCAGTTCTCATTATTCCAGTAATCTCTGATAGCACGTCACCCCCCACACTTCCCGAGCCCTCTGCCCCTGCAAAGGGCCCACAAAGTGCAGGCACAGCTCCCCCTGCAGGTGCCACTCGCAACCACGGCCCCACGCTCACCCCACGGCGCTCAGGGCCTCTGCCGCATACACCAGTGCACAATATGCGTGGCGGCCAGAGGTACATTTATAGTGTGAGTATGAATGTGGAGCCAGCCCGTGTCCTTGAGCAGGCCTGCCCCTTGGTCCTGGCATCCTGAGGCTGCTCTGCAGCTAGCCTGGCTCAGTGTTTGATCTCCAGGATGGAGGGGTTGTGGTCCAGGATGGCCAGGATAATCTTGTCCATGTACTGCCTCAGCCGGAAGTTGATCTCCTCCTGCTCCTTTAGGGCTTCCATGAGCTGAAGGAATAGAAGGATGATCAGGGGCTGGGCCTAGGCCGAGCTGCACCCCAGACTCCCAGACTTGCAGTGGGCCAGTGCCGAATAACAAGAGGGGCCTGATGAAGCAGCCCCTGGCCAACCTCAGCACTCCGAGGCCAAGACAAGAGTCTATGGCAACGTAACTGGTTTGTGGAGGGGCCAAGGTGTGCGTAATTCTTTGTAAAGGCTGAGAACACTGCCCAGAGGTATTTGTAATGGAGTCACATTCACAGTCCCAAGACCAAAGATTCATGGGGCTGTTGGCTATAGCCTCTGCTGTAAGGGTGCCCTCCCCACCCCTGCCACGGGCAGCTCTCAGCACATTCTGCACAGCGTACTGCACTGCTGCTCTGCCCTGGGCTGGTGCCAGCTCCCCGGGGACTCAAGGCCAGAAGCCACCCCTAAGCCCTAAATCCAGGCAGAAGGAAGTGACATGGGGTCTTCAGTTCCCCTTAAAGGATAGTTAGGTATTCTGGTATTGTGACAGAAAGAATGGTCCATGGCCAGAGACCGGGACCCTCTGCAGCGGGAGGAGCCCGCGTCCTTAAGCTGTTACACAGTCCTAGAGCTGGCCAAGTGAAAACACGCAAACAAGGACCCCTGGTTCCCTTGCCTGCATGGCAGCACAAGTACCCCTGATGGGTCACTATAGAAGAAGGCACTGGTCTGGCATTTGGGCTCTGGGCAGCCTGGGGCTCATGGTCCCAGAAGGGAGCAAGGGTGTAGGACCCACATAAAAGGGCCAGACCCCACAAGAGAGCAAGAGGACATGGCTACCTCGTCGCGAGAGGCTGTGTCTATTTCTGCAGCCAGAGACTGGGCTTTGGTCTGAGTAGCAAAGAGATTCTTTGCTTCGTAGAGGCTGAGGCTCAGGATCTGTCCATTCAGGTCATCGTTCTGATCTCGTAGTTTGTGATTCTCCTACAGAGACAGGATAGAGATAACAACAGCTCCCAGAAGCAACTGGAGCCTGCTGGAACCCACTTCTCTGCATCCACTGTCTCTTCATGGCTACCATACCCTCCCTCTGTGTCACGGCCAGTCCCAGCAGCCTACAGATGATGTAGCCTTTGCCAGGTGCTGGGGTGGAAGGACTGAATGGAACCTGGTAAGGGGCCTGGCATCCTGTGAGTTCCTGGGCTTGGAGGGGAGTTTTGGCCCCACTCAGAGGAGCCGTGTCTCCTTGAGTCAGACGCATGGTTGCCCATCCCTTCCTGCATAGCCACCCTGCCATCCTGGCTCCCACTGAGGCAGTGCAGCCTGGGGCCTCTGGGCAGGTAGCTGGCTCATTCCTGTGGCCCCAGGCTCCTGCTTTGGGTACCTTTGCTCTTGAGGACAGCTGACCGAGGGTCACATTCCCAAGCTCCACCTCCTGCCTAAAGGCCCCTATGGCTCACACCTGAGACCTGGGAGCTCTTCCTGGAAGGGTCGGTTTAGGTCCACTGAGGGCAGCCGGCCACCAGCACCTCTGTTGCAGGTGGTAACTTGGGTGACAACCTCCAGCTGCAGGGTCTGGCTGAGCTGAGCAGACCTCACTCCTCTCCGGGCTGCTGCTCCTTCCTGACCCACTCCTTTATTCCCGGATTGGTTTCCAGTGAGGACAGCGCTACCAGCAACTTTGCAAAGTGGGATCTCAGGCCTCGGGTCTGCTTCTGGAGACCTAGGCCAGTCAGGCACTAATCTGCAGCTGGTGTGGACAGGACAGTGGTGTGTCTTTCTTTTTATGGACACAAGAGGATACTGGGACCCATCAGACAGCCAGAGCTGTTGCTTGACCCAAGGTGAAATGGGCTGGCTGGCCCTCACAGTTTGTCACAGAAGTACACAACAGTGAGTGTGTTAACAGGGAAGGTGGTCCCTGCACTTGAAGCCCGTCTTGCTGGGTACCGGCTCCCAGCTCACCTGCTTCAGCCGCTTGACCTCATGCTCGAGCTCCACCTCTCGGGCCCTGGCGTTAAACTCGCCCAGGCTGGAGGAGGAACCGCGACCCCTGCCTGTCCTCTCACAGTCCAACTTGTACATCTGCAGGTGCTCTAGTTCCTTCCGCAGGTCCTCAATGAGCTGCAGAGAAGAGAGGCTGATTGGAGGGAGGATGAACACTGAGGGGAGGCCCAGGACCCCTGGACCTGGGACCCACCTCCTGCGTTGCCTCCCGCTCCTTTTGGAACTCAAGGCGATTCTGCCGGAGCTTGTCCATCATGCGCTTGTACAAGTCCATCTCATCCTTGAGCCGCAGGCTGGTGTCCTCCAGGCGGTCGGACATGCGCTGCCGCTCCTGCAGCCAGAGGAGAGTTTCCAGACAGGGGAGCATTAAGCACAGGCACCTCCCTTGGGAGCAATCAGAAACCTCGAGTGACAGAGCCCTCTGAGTGACAGCTTACAAAAACAGTCAGGCCCCTACAATTCTAGAAACACTGAAGAACATCTCAGGTCTCGAAGGTCATTCAGTGGTACAGAGAAGCTGGCAGAATCTGTTATCCCAAACCGGAAGCTAATGCTCTCCTTCAGGACTACCAGGAATACACAGCACATGTTACATAGCGACTGTAGAAAACTCAGCAAGTCAGAAATACAGAAACATGCAGCGTTATTCCTTTTTTTTTTTTCAAATTTTATGGCAGAGTAGTTTTTTTTTTTTTTTTTTTGAATTGTAGAAACTATCAACTAAAGACCTCTCCCTCATGGTCAACTTTGTTTCTCTGTGGATTTGGCCTTTGCCTAGATCTGCTGCTTACCTCATCCAGTTTCTCTGTTTGAGACTTGAGTCGAGACACAGTTGTTCTAAGCTCAGTATTTTCTTCCTCTAATTGCTGAACCCTAGAGAAAGGAGGAGGACATAATCTCAGGAATGCAGAAGGGAAATAATCTCACAAGACAGTGACAATCTGCAGCTCCCCACTGCTTGCTGGACAAGGAAAACCACACAGACACTGACATAGACACACACACAAAGCCAGGCACAGTGGCAAACACCTGTAATCACAGCTCTTGGGAGGCTGAGGCATGAGGATTGTTGGAGTTTGAGACCAGGCTGGGCTACAAAGTAAGCTCAAGGCCAGCCTGAATTGCATAACAGACGTTGTCTCAAAAAGACAGACAAAAAAAAAAAAGCTAAAAGAAACAGGGAAAAGTCAGATATGGTGCTGAACACTGTAATCCCAGCACCTGGGAGGCTGAGGCAGGAGGATCACTGAGAGTTTGAGGCTAACATGAACTGTACAGTAAGTTCAAGGACAGCCTGAATTGTATGGTGAGACCCTGTCTCAAAAAAACAAAATAGGGCCGGCCAAATAGCTCAGTGGACTGGAGCACCTGCAGGCAGGCACAGGGGCCAGGGTTTGATCCCAGGGTCGGCAGTGCCGGCCCCACCCCTGAGGCGAGATGAGACTGCAATTGAGACTGGGCGTGGTGGCACACGCCTGTGATCCCAGCTCTTGGGAGGCTATAAACAGGTGGATCCCTGTGAGTCTGATCTAGTAGTGAGACCCTGAACACCCTGTAGACCCTTCCCTAAAATACAAAAAACCAAAAAATAAAAAAATAAAAATAAATAAATAAATAAATAAATACAAAAAACCAAACCAAACCAAAACAAAAAATCACCATCCTCTAAAAAAAGAATAAAAGACACTGGAATAACTACACAGTGCCTGCTAGGTAGTGGCACAGCACCTGCCTGGCATGCACAAAACCCTCAGTTTGATTCCTAGCTCCAAACCAAACAAACAAACTACCTATGTTGAGGCTAGGCTTGTGATATGTACTTGTAATTACAGTAGTGGAGAGGCTGAGGCAAGAGGATCACTGTAAGTTTGAGGCCAGCCAGGACTACAAAGTAAGTTCAAAGCCAGACAGAACCATATAGTGAGACCCTGTTTCAAAAAGTCCAAAAAGGACAGTTGGGACTAGGGAGATAGCTCAGCCAAGTGCCTTCCTGGCAAATGCAAGGACCCGGGTTCGATCCCCAGTACCATATAACATGCTAGCCCCAGAACCCCAGGCATGCTGGCCACCGAAACCAGGCATGGTGGTGCACATCTGTAATCTCAGCACTGAGGAGGCTGAGATAGGAGGATCAATACAAGTCTGAGCTGCATAGTGGGACCCTGTATCAAATAAATAAATAAATAAAGCTATGTTGAATGATAGATGTTAAATACTCCTAATCCAAAAGTCCAAAATGCTTCAAAATCCAACATCTTGAGCACTGACGTGATCTCATAAATGGGAAATTCCACAGATCACGAGACTTTCATACACAAATTTAAAATGTTGTACAAAACTATCCTCAGGTGATACATATAGCTGTACATGAAACATAAATGAAGTTCATGTCTAGACATGGGTTCTGTTCCTGAGATAGCTCATTATGCATATGTAAATACTTTAAAATCTGAAAAGTAAAACAAAGAAAACCCTGAAATCTGAAACCCTTCTGGACTCAAGCATCGTGAGTAAAGTCTACGCAATCTGTGTACCTTTGAACTTTCTGCCAATCAGAGCAAACTAGTGATAGCATTTTTAGTTTTTCTATAAAAAGGAAACATTTGTTTGTAAATAAGAAGGTAGGGGGTTTGTTTTGCTTTGAGGTAGTCTTGCTTGTAGTGCAGGCTGGCCTTGAGCTCACTATGTAGCCCAGGCTGGCTTCAAACTCGTGGTGATCATCCTGCTTCAGCCTGTGGAGCGCCGGGCTCATAGGTAATTGCCACTATGCCCCATCACAAGGTAGAATTCTTTTTCCATGCATCCTTTGAAGCCCGGAACAACACAGCAGGGGTGCTTCTCCACTAGAACCCACGAAGTCTTCCTGCGGCAGGCTGGAATGGGCCCTCCCAGAATCTGCCCTTTGAAGGCAGTAGCCACATGAGCTCTCCATTCCCCCACCAGTCACCTCCTGCAGGTGTGAGCTGCACACTTGCATCAGGTGCCTCCGAGGTGTGCAGGCCCTGGCTCCCACGCAACATGCCTGGGTCAGTGTTCACACAGGGCTGTCTGCAGTGAGTCCATGGGAAGACAGAGCCTGGTGTTGGGGTGGTGTGGCAGCCAGGGGCGTTGGATGGATCAGCGTGCACAGTGCCATTTCTGGCAGATTCCGGTAGGCACCAAGACCGGGATGGATTCCTGGCTCCCACTGCTACCCTCAGAGCTCCCTAGCAGATGCCCCAGGCCAGTGCTAGCGAGGAATCCAGACCTTCAGGGAAAGTGGCTTGACCTGAGCAAAGCCATCATCTGTGACTGGGTGACTCAGAACAACGCAGACATGACATGCATGAATAGCACCGTGGGAGCCGTGCAGAGGCCCTGCTTAGGAGAGTTCCTGGGAGCTGGCTTTCTGTGTGTCATCCTCTGGCCCATATGTACTGTCTTCTCCCAGCTGACTTGCAGGCACCCCTGCCTGGCTGGGCCTAGATGCAGACTGGGCGAGAGCTCTCACTCTCATGGTGATACCCGCCCCCCATACACCAAGTTCTATAAACAGCAGCTTTTGCAGCACAATCCAAATTTAAAATGCACCCTGCTGATGAAGTTGACAAAGCAGGTGCCAGGCCCAGGGGAGTCAGGACAGGTGCCTCACCTGGCCCAGCTGCCAGCCGCTGCTTAGCACTCTGCTGCCAGACTCCAGGATGCCTGCATGGCGTCAGGGCCAGGGCCAAGGAGTACCAGGACACAGAGGGCTGGGGCTGGGCCGCTTTGGCCACTATGAAGGCAGAAAGGCCTCACAGCCTCACCATGTGCAAGTGTGCCTCGGCTTCCCCATCCCCTGGCTGAGCAGGGCAGACAGGGAGGGATGGCAGGTAGAGGGAGAGAGAGGCACTATGTCGGGGCACAGGGCTAGTGGGGACCAGTCCAAACAGTCAGCTAGCACTGCTCCGCTTCAGGGTTCAACATTGAAGCCACACGTACACCTGAGGCACATGTGTCCACAGGAAACCCAGACGGGTTTTCTGCTCCCTTGGCCTCTGGCCGGGCTCCTGTATTCAGGGTCACAAGGATCTAACACCAGGGGGAGCTCCAAGTCTAGACATCAGACCAAGCCAAAGCCTATTGGTATGTCATGGTTTGTTTTTTTTAAAATTATTTATTTATTTATTTGGTGCAGGATCATACCTCAGACTTGTTGCACCTCAGACTTGTGATGATCTTCCCGTGTCAGCTTCCCTAGTGCTGGGATTACAGGCGTGTGCCACCACACTCAGTTTCTGGCCCAATGATCTGGGGCCAGCATAGCATGTGGTACTGGGGATCGAACCCAGCTCCTTGGGTTTGCCAGGGAGGCACTTAAGATTACCATACTATCTCCCTAGCCGAGTTTTTTTTTTTAAAGAGAGGTTTCACTATGTAGTAATTCAGGCTGGACTTGAACTTACTTTATAGCCCATTCTGGCCTTGAACTCAGGGCAATCTTCCTACCTTAGCCTACTGAGTGCTGCAATTACAGGTGTGTGCTACCACACCTCGCTCTCCCCTATTACTGACCTGTTTTGTTCCCTTTACCTGACATAAGTACTTATCTATGTATTCCCTAATGAGCACACCATATTTAAGGTGTCGAAGTGGAATTGTTGGAACAAGGGGCTCAGTTCTCCGGTCTCTATAATGGATACAGTCCCCCAGGGTGCAGGCTGCAGGGCGTGTGGAGGTGCAAGGCTCTGGGCGCTGTGGGCGCTGTGTACCTGGCGTTGAGCAGCTCCAGTTCGGTGCTCTTTTCCCGCTCCAGCTTGCTGTAGGCCTCACGGTGTCGCCGGGCCTCCTCCTCCAGTGCCTGCTCAGCAGTGGTCTCCTGGTCCTTCACCATCTCCTCTAGCTCGTGCACTCTGAGGAGAGGGCACAATTCAGGGCAAGTGCCTGTGGCCCTGTGGTCTCATCCCAACCCAGGGAGGCCCAGGGTCTGACTGAGTCCTAACATGAGGGAGGACTGAGGGAGGTGGTAGAGTGTCTTCCAGACCTGTGGGCCAGCAGCTTTGCTCATGGATGAATAAGGAATGCTGACATCTAAGACATCTAAAGAAAGGTGTGCCAGTCACACGGCACCAAGTAGGCACAGAGGACAGATGGCCATGGGACAGCCCAGTCCTGAGAGGAACAGCAGGCCACATCACACTGGACAGTCTCAAGTCCCACCTCCTCTTTGCTCTGTTTTCTAGGTCATTAGGCACTGTGACTCCAAACATGGGTACATCCTAGCCAGGGGCTCAAACATCCCAGACTTGGAACAGGGCCGGCCCACGGATGGTTCTAGCCCACCACTGAGGCCTCCCTGACCTGTCAGTCTCAGGCACCTCTCACTGCCAAAAGTCTCTGTACCCAGCTGACCTGTGCTGTACAAAAGGGCCCATTTGGGGTCCCACAAGGTAGGGAGCCAGATCCCAAATCAACTACCAAGTTTCCTGCATCTGAAAGGATGATCAAATCTAGTCTCTACTGGCTCAGCGCCACAGAACTGGGAAGGTTATGCTCCATGGGACTCCGCTCATAGCAACACCTGGAGCCTTCCTCTGCAGCACTCGTCCCAGGAGGACCCTTGTCCCTGGTGCAGTGAGAGTCAACAGATCCCAGTCCTGTCCTACACCAGTCTGGAGGCTGCACTCTGGGAAGCCCTTCAGGCCCTGAGCCAAAGGCAAGCTCCTGCGGTTACAGGGTCGGCCCTTCATCCCCAGAGCAGAGACCCCAGCCTGACCTGTGCACCAGCTGTGTATTCTCCTGCTTCAGCTTGCTCTTCAGGTCCCCGCTGGTCAGGCTGTCATTCTCTAGCTCCGTCACCTTCTTTTCCAGGAAGCTCACCTGCAGCAGCAGGGTAGGGTGGGATGGGGAGGACCTCTGAGGCCACAGCACCGAGACACTGATGCTCGTGACTGAGAACTCTAGAGGGCCATGCATGAACAGAAAAGTGTGCATGAATGTGGGGGGCCATGTGACCTGTGCCCCTGGCCCTCACCTGGGCAGCTACAGGGCCTCCCATGTCTCCAGTCAGTAGCCCAGAGTGCTCCCCACTGCCTACAGGCACGTGCATACATTGAGTCCCTTCTTTCTGCATTATGCAGGGCCTACCTTCTCTGTGATGTCATTGTCACAGGAGTCAATGCTGTCACGGAACAGATCCTCTGTGCTGCCATTGCTGCTGCTGAAGTTGCTGTTGTGCATGAGCTGCCTACAGAGGTAGGAGGGCAGCAGTTACAGAGGCCCCTCAGGACAGGGGCATGACCGAGGCTGTGCGGTGTGCAAGCAGCTGACACCAGCATGCTAGGGGCCCCAGGGAGGCAGGCGGCCCTTAGCCACGGGAGGAGAGCATGGCCTGGGCTCCACACCCAACAGAGGAGTGCTCAGAGGACAGCACAAGCCACCAGACCGTAACTCCCTCTTGCTGCCTCTGAACACTCTTCACCCCAATGCTAGGAAGAAACTACCAAGTGAGCACAGCTGACCTAAGAGCCCTGCTTCCTCCAGCTAGAAAATGCCGTGAAGGCAGCCTGGATCCACCACTGGCCTAGGGTCAGGGCCTGCAGAGGCTCCTTGTAAGATGTGTTCTCCGCTATGCTGGGTCCATCTGGGGAACTCTCAGGAGGGTGAGCTACCCACTCCCTGCAGGGCACCAAGCTGGGGGTGAGAATGCAATCGAGAGGACATTTGAGGAGGTCACCCCTGCAGGATTGCAGCTGCCATCCTCCAGGGATGCCCCTTTCCCTACTCCCTGAAAGGCAATAGCCAGGGTCTGAGCCACAATCTGGGTGCTTGCTGGCAGCCCTCAATGCCCTGGGTGTGGACCTGGGGCAGTCTGTGGGATCCCAAGTCAGCCACTGCAGGATTCCCCCAGAGCGAGGTGGCCTCTGATAGGGTGTATTGCACCAGGTCTCTGCCAGTTGGAAGCCAGCTCCTGCTCCAGAGTGGAGGGAAGAGCACCAGCAGCTGGGGTGGGCTTTGTCTCTGGCATCCCACAGATTGCCCAGGCTGAGGTCACTACAGGTTGATGTCTGGTGGGGGGCACGCGTGGGTCAAGGTCAGGGAAGAGGCCGGCCTTCCTTCTCAGAAGCAGACCTAGTCATTCGGCCACGGCCCTGGGACTGCCTCACACCTCTGCTCATTCAGCCCCACATGGCACGGGATGGGTTTGTGCTGATGGTATGGAGCCTGGCCAAGTGAACAGGAAAAGCCCACAGGGTGGGGGGTGGTTACCGTCCAAAAGCTGTGCTAGAGATCTTCCGGTTGGGGCTAGAGAGAGAGACAAACAAACAAACAAACAAACAAACAAAAAAAGAAAGAAAGAAAAACAACAGTCATTGGACAGATAGGGCCCTGGCTTACCCTGGCTCCCTCTGGGCTTCCTCCTCCACTAAAGGGACTTCATCTGCTTGGTCCTGAGAGAGGCAACCTGATTTCCCATTGCAGGAAAAGCCCCCAGGACTGGACGTGCTTGGAGAGCACCCTCACCGCCCAGCCCCAGCATGCGCCTGCCTGCTGCTTCTCCCTTCCAGCCCCAGCCTGGTGGCCTCCTCTGCCACCACCGGGCTGCAGGTCTTACCTGTTGGCCTTCAGGTTTTTCAGCCTGGCTTCCAAGTCGTTTAGCAGGTTGATCTTCTTGCAGCACTGAGAGCAGTACACATCCAGCAACTCGCTATTGTAGGCGTGCCGCATCTTCCTCGGGGTCTGTCCCGCACTGATCCAGAGGAGGGGAGGAAGTCACTTCCTTAGCCGCTGGCAGGCTGTGCCCTGCCCACCCTGCCCCAAGAACTAAATGGGTGGCATGGGAGTAGAAATAAAGCAACACGGCAGCGCTCGTGAATACTCTCAAAGAAAAGCTCGGGAGATACACTCATGTACCAGATAAGGAACGGTGAGAGTCCATGTGAGAAGTAATGACTCAGGTGGGTGGGAAGTCACTCTGAAGAGCCTTCTAACACCAAGATTCTAGGAGGCAGGACGACATAGCCCTGGAATCCACTCCTCAGCCTCCCAGGTCAGTAACTGTTTTCCTTCCCAAGATGGAAGCGGAAGGAGCGACCCGACTCCCAATCGGCGTTCAAGGACAGCGCCCTTAACCCCCACACAGCACAGGACAGAGGAATGGCAGTGAGCTCGGGACTCTGCCTTCCTGATTCCCTGGAGGGAAGCTAGATGACTGGTTCTACCATTCTCTTGGACTCCAAATGCATCCCAGATCAAGGGGGCCACCTGGAAGACACTGAAGAGCCCAGGTCTGAGTAGACGTTGGTCCTGGTCTCGTCATCGGGGCTCGGGCTGCTGGGAGCACAGTCCACATCATCTCCCTCGCCATAGTCTTCAAACTGTTCCTCGTTGCTGATGAGTGAGGCAGTGGAGTGCGTGGAGAGGTCTGACGTCGTCATGGATGGAGTGTGGACCAGGGACCTAGGGGCCGGGAGCACCTGCATTAGGGAGGGGCTGGGGCACCCCTCGCACTACAGACAGCGGGAGCCTCATCAAGTCTGACCTGGGGGAAGCCCCCTCAAGGCAACGCCTCACTACAGACACTTTCTGCATGAGAGAGATGCGAACCCGTGCTACCCAACGTAGTGACTCGCTGGTTACTGCTTAATGACCTAGCTACAAACTAGCTTTAAGATGACAATCAAATTATAGTTAGTAAAGTGGAAAACTTATTAGTGAACCAAGTTATTAGATTATCAAACAGCTGTAGAAAGGCTTATAAAAATATTGGCAATTATGTAGAGAAATGAATATAAATTAAGTTAGACATGACTTGGATGCTTTTTTTTTTTTAAAGACTGAGTGTGTACAAGGTCTATGTGTGGGGAGAAGACACAGGAAGAACACTACAATGGTGACAGGACTTGGGTTTGTGGGAGGCGGTTTCTGCCTTCTCACTTTTCCTGTTTTGAGTGTTCTTTAATTAACACGCACAGCTCATATATTGAGATGATAACGCTCTTCTAGGTGAGCAGCATCTCGTGGGTTAGTGGGGCACTTCTAGTCCGAAGAATCCTAATCCCACAGAACACAGGTCAGAGACCTCAGGCTCTGGGCCCTTTCATGAATGACCTGTGGTGTGGCCTCTAAATTGTGCAGGCCGGGCTGAAACTGTCCACAGTCTGAGAACGAGAGAAGCACAGCGCATCGCCCACCCAGCAGCTCTTTCCTTCCATCACTACCTTTACAATACTGCTCACAGACCATGACCTCCCCAACCTTACTGAGCTTCACACTCAAAAACGCGAAGCCTGACCACGGCAAGAAGCACAGCATGGGCTACGGCAGTAATTCTCAAAGCATATCCCTGAGGAACCCCAGTGTTAAGGACAGGGTGCTGAAGAGAAGTCTCCTGGGATGGATTACGTTTCTTCATTTGTCTCCCCTCCTTCCTTAGCACTTCAGGGTGGATTAATCATACTGCTCCACTCTTTCTCTTGCAGATTTTACCAACTCTTGGCACCCACTGCTTGGCACCCACTGCTGGCGGTCAGTCTGTCTCAGGCAACAACGGCACTGACAAATGGCAGATGATTAACTACAAGATCAACAGCCAGGTGTGGTGGTACATGCCTGTTATCACAGCACCCAGGGGGCTGAGGGCTGAGGCAGAAGGATCGGATCACTGAGTTGGAGGCTAGCCTGGGCTGCACAGTGAGCTCAAGGCCAGCACGAACTACATGCAAACCCTTGTCTCTAAAGCAACAACAACAAAAAGAGATCAACAGGGCTACCTCAGTCCACAGCTCTTCTCAATGGGTTGGCTAAGCATGGGTACAGCAGAACTGCTCCCAGGAAGCAATGTGGGACCCATGAAAGAGAACGCACCCCAAAGAGCGCCAGCCGGAAACCAGAGCCCTCAGAACTGCTGGAGCTTGACAAGCTCAGCATGGCGAAAACATGTCAGGTTAAATCACGTGGTTACTTCTTAGGGGAAAATGATTAAAAAATTAGCAATGCCATGTGGGCCAAGCATAATGGAACCACCCTCTTCCCTCTCTCCTGTCACCTAATTCTGATGCCCGGGTCACTACTTCCAAGCACCAAGGATTGCCCACAGTGTTGGGGCTCAAACACAGCCAGGTGTACAGCCAAACACTAGCATGAGCTACACCCCAGTCCACTTAGTGATTAGGTCTTAATCAATGCAGAAAATGTAGATTATATAGCAAAGCAGATGGGAGGTCACTAAAATAATCATCATCCTGCCTCCCAGACATAACTGCCCAATTTTTTTTTTTTTTTTTTTTTTTTTTAGGGAAGGGTCTACAGGGTGTTCCGGGTCTCACTACTAGATCAGACTCATAGTGATCCGCCTGTTTACAGCCTCCCAAGAGCTGGGATTACAGGTGTGCGCCACCACGCCCAGTCTCAATTGCCATCTCAGGGTGTCTCAGGGGTGGGGCTGGCACAGCAGGCCCAGGGATGGAACACACACCCCTGTACCTGCTTGCAGGCGCTTTAATCCACTGAACTATTTGGCCAGCCCTAACTGCCCAATTTTTAAAAGTGAATCAAGAATGCAAATCCCATATCATAAAACAAGATTAAAACTTGACTTGGCACAGCTGCGTATAATCCCAGAACCATTTCTACTGCTGAACACTTGGGCTGCCTAGAGGTTTTTGCTATGAAGAATGCCCATGAAAGTCATGCCGGTGAGGTAAGTCTCTCGTGTGTCTCAATGTGTACTTCCTGGAAGGACGGCCCTGGACGGCATTTTTGGCCCAGAGGCCTTATGCTGAGTACCTTCCAGTTTTACTCACTTGTCCTCTGGCAGAAACAGGCCCCCAATCCCCCGCTCCTTCTCCTCAGCGGGACTCCCGACAGACCCCTCCAGGCTCTGGGCGCTCTCCATGGGGCTGTCCATGTCTGACTCCTGGGGGCCCTCAGGCAGGGCCAGCGTCATAGCTTCCTCTTCCTCATCAGGAAAGAAGCCAGGTTCCCTGGGGATGAGCTCGCCATCAGTGAAGGTGGAGCCCGAAACCTCGCTGCCCTGGGAAAGACAACAGAACGGAATGAGCAGGTCAGCTCGCTGGGACCCAAGCGCTCCTCGTCAGACCATGAAGGCATCAACAGGCCTGGACAGCAAGGATGGGAGCCCAGGAGGGCCGAGAGCCTGATGACCCAAGGATGAGAAGGCCTAGAAGGTGACCAGTCTTGGGGGCTTCACACTATGAGGAGCTAGACCTCAGACAGCATCCACCGAGGAGACGCAGCCAGGCTAACCACAGTTCCCAGGGCCCCAGCCCACAGGCCAGAGCCTTCCTCAGTCTGCATAGGATGCCAAGTGACTTGAAGGAGGTGTCTTGGCGATCTGCATTAAGGACACATCTACGCTGGGTGGCCTTCAGAACAACCCTGGCCTCAGAGTGCAGTGCAGCACAGCAGAGGGGCGTCTGCCCAGCCAGGCCCCACCTCCATGACTGCATGTCACGGAACCACATTTCTTCCTGGTAAAGCAAGAATGCCAGGGGTTTTACAGGGCACTGACTGCAGCATTTCAGTTAGCCCCAGGCACACAGTAGGAACTCAGTGAATAAATTCGGGCCAGAAGATGTGACGTCAGCTATGGAGATGAGTGTCAGCCTTGGCACTAGCATAGCCAGGCTAGGGAGCAAGAACCCTAGGCCTGGGCCGGGTGTGGTGGTGCATGCCTGTGCTCCCAGTACTGGGAGGCTGAGGCAGGAGGACTGATGCAAGTTCAAGGCCAGCCTGGACTACAAAGTGGGTTTAAGGCCAGCCTACACTACACAGCAAGACCCTATCTCAAAATAAACGAATTAAATTAAAACCTTAGGTCTTTCGCTTCTGAGCTCCGGTCCTCACTTGCCCACTTGGGGTCCAGGGCCCAACACAGCACTACACAATGTTCACCTACAATAAAGAAACATGTATGCCTTCCCTGAAGCCAGCTCAGAGAAGGGCTCTGGCTCTGCTCCTCAGAGTTCACTCTAATGCTAGAGGCAGCTCCTGGCAAACTATTCCTTGGGCCTGCTTTGCTTCTGAGGAGGAAGGTACTTTCCATGTGGCTCCACATCTATCTGCTCCCATGGGGGATGGTCCCCTAGGTTCTGTGGCATGCTCCTTGGCTGGAGGACATGCTCTACGAAAGTGCTTCCCTCACCCAAGATTGCAAGAAGGGTACCAGAAATGTTAAAATCCTCTGCTAGTCTCTGACAAGAACAGCTTCCAGAGCAATCCCTTGGGGCCCCTCCTGTCTTCCTATTCTCCAATAAACCTTTCCTATTGAAAAAGGAAAGAAAGAGGAGGGGAAGGAAGAGGAGGAGAGGGGAAGGGAAGGGAAAGAACAGAGGAGAGGAGGAGAAAATAGGTTCCAGGATATCTGAAGAGGGAGACAGGCTTGCACGCGCCTGCCCATACTCATGGAGTCCTTGAGGGTGTATCCCAGCAGGAAGCCCCTAGGTCATGAAAGGATGGTGATTTATGAGCTGGCCTCTTGCTTGCTCCATAATACAGGCTGAGCACCAGATGGACCAATCAAGTCAGGCACCCCTGACTGTGGAGAGCAAAGTGCTGAGTAATTAAACCACCCCAAATGTCTACAGGGCTCATTCCACCTAGCCGCCACTAACGTGATCCCACATGGGTGCAAACCTTTCAGATCTTGCACCCTAACCAAGCACTTTACCAGCAAGCATGAAGCTGCAGCCAATGGGAACAAAAAGAAACCAACATTACCAAATACCCACCTCCTGCCACAGACGAGCTTGAGAGCTCATGTTTTCTTTCATTTGCATTTCCTAACAACCTCCAAGACGCATAATGTGAGTCCCCTTCTACTGTCAAGGAAACAGGCTCCGAGCATAGCTTGCCAGAGTCCTCCAGCAGAAGCCTGAGGACCTGGCCTGCTGCTGCTGTCCTACCCTTGCTTCCACTTATTGCCAGTGTCTCTATACTTCATGCATTTTCAAACCTCAAAGTTACAAGGAAGAAATGCACATTACTCATTGTGATACCCAGATGTTCTGCCTGATACAGCCATTTCCAAATCCACCTGCTGCCGACGCCACAGGAGACACTGGTCAGCCCAGGGACACTCAAGAGACACAAAAAGGGAAGACTGCCCACCTGCCAAGGGAGCCCGGGCTCACGGGGAGCAGTGTGCACGGTCTGCGTCCTCACCTAGCCATGACCAAGCGCACGCCCCACCCCGCTGGCCACAGACAAGCTCAGCACTTGGCCAAGTGTCTTCTTCCCATCTTCACCACAGCCCTATGATGAGGGCTCCTTTCCCCCTTTTTGTAGGCAAAGAGCCTTGCCTGGGAGGGTGGAAACTGGAACCTGACTGTGTCACCAACACCTAGTCTCTCCCCCTATCTGGGGCCTGTGGAAGCTGTAGCCCGTGGGGCTCCCAGAAAATAGGCAGTAACACCTCAGATATCTGACCGGCCTTTGGGAAGCTCAGCTTCGGCTGCCTGGACACAGATCCGGGGCTTATATGGTGCATTCCGCCCACTGGTAAACCAACTCCCAGTACATCACAGGTGGGGTCCCTTAGCCCCTCACCCAATGTCTCGGTTACTTTTCTCTCATTGCTGGGACAAAATACTTGACACCCAAAATGAAGGAAGGAAAGGTTTATTTGGCTCACAGATAGTGGAGGTTTCAGCCATACTTAGCTGGCTCCAAGGAAGAATAGCACATGGCAGAGGGCAGCTGTTCAGGGCAGCCGAAACCAGCAAAGAGCAAAAGGAGGAGCTGCAGCTGCAGCAGCAGAGGCAAGCCTCTCCCCTCCTTACACTGTAATGTAGATTACCCACCTCAGGGCAGGAATAGCACTCACACCCGCAATCCCAGCACTGGATCATGAATTAATCACAAACTCTAGAAACCACCCCATGACTGTGAGGCTTTGGGGGGACACCGAGACAGAAACCATAACACCCAACAACAGTGATGCACCTGGAGGTTGGCCCAAGTTCTTGACAGGTGATGACAATGGCCTTAAGGGGCTCAACTCCATCACAGGTTAGGCAGAAAGAACACAAATAGCCCACCCTCCAGTAAGCCTAGCTCCTCCGTGGCAGGTCTGTAGTCCACACCTGCCACCTTTCACAAAGTGGCCTCTGTCTGTCCATCTCTGCAAGGCCAGGCCTTCATCCACCTTCCGGACACACACACTCCAGCTTCTCCTCTTAAAATTAGTGACTTCCTTCATTAATACCTATTTGGTCAACCCACATGTGTTTGCCCAAGGCAAGTGAAAATTTTAATTATAACTTCAAAACCATTTCTCCTACTTCCCCCCAAATTAAAAGATAGCTATTAACAACAGCTTCAAGAAAAGTAACTGTGGGCTGGAGAGATGGCTCAGTGGTCTAAAGCACCTACTTGAAACAAGCTTGGCAAAGCACAGGGACCGCGGTTCAATCCCCCAGCACCACATGCCAGCCAGCCCCGCCCCCTGGTGGGCTGAGCTGGCCACATACACACACAATAAATAAATGTAATAAAAATAAATAAATAATTAAAAAAAAAGAAAAGAAAAGTAACTGTATGGGGCTGGTAAGATGGCTCAGTGGTCTAAAGCGCCTACTTAGAACAAGCTTAGCAAAGCACAGGGACCGCGGTTCAATCCCCCAGCACCACATGCCAGCCAGCCCCGCCCCCTGGTGGGCTGAGCTGGCTCCCCCCCACACACAAATAAATAAAATTAAAAAAAAAAAAAAAAGAAAAGTAACTGTATACCTTGATTAGTTCAGGACAGTCCAGTTTGTTCGAGTCCCAAACCCTTTCACTCTGCAACTGTACTGAACAAAGCTTTCCTGTTCACCTTGCTCCTCCCCGCAGCCACAAACCCTGGCCTTAGCCTCTACTCCCTGGGTCCCTGGGGAAGGCCAGGACGGGAACTGCTGGATGGGGGCAGCCTGCTCTGCCCCCCACCCCATACCCCATGCAGTGAGGTACTGGCGGCAGCACTGGAAAGTGGCTCCTCTCCTACCCCAGTTGCTCCCTACTGGCTGAGAGAACTCGAAGTTCTAACAAAACCATGCGGAGCCAGTGCCTCTGTTGTCTTTAAAAGTTGCAGAGAAAGAGGGAGTAGTCCATAATGAAGTCACCCTCACAAGGTGCAAGGTGGCTGGGAAGGTGCAAGGTGGCTGGGGCTACGGGCTTTCCGAGGCTGTGAGTGACCCTGCAGGCAGGTCACCTGGGCACAGCTCCTGGAAGCAGCTGCCTTGTGGTGTGCACCCAGGATATCTTTGGGGGATGCAGAGGGTCGGAAGATGAAGCCACCTGAGAAAGGTTAGATAAATTCTGTTCAGGTGGATACAAAATGCCAGCCTCATTCCTGGGCAAACCCAGAGCTGATTTTGGTGAGGTGAATTCAGCCTGTGGCAGCCCACAGCATGTTGGGGTCTTTCCCGCAAGACCTGGGGGTAGTGGCAGAGAGGATGGAATTGCCCTACCTCATCTTCCTGCTAGAGGAGACTGGCCCTGTGTACCCACAGCAGTGCCCTGTGGCCCCCATATCCCACTCCATAAGGCTGGCAGAATCACAGCAAGAATGGGCTTCCCAAGGGCCTGGGTTCCAGGTAGCCAGATGTCAGTGAACAGGTCCCAACCCAAGGTAGCTTCTGACCCTGCTCCCCAGCGCTCCCCTTTCCTCAACTCTTTTCCCAGTGTGTGCAACAAGTATTTGTGTGAGACCTTCCAGGCACCACCTAGTGTGGCCCTAGCCATGGGGACAGGTCTAGGCCTTGAGCTCAATAAGAACTCAGCTGCACAGAAAGCTGTGGCCAGTATTTTGGGGGACTTGAGGGAAGGGACAGATACTCAGCAGCAAACACTGGAAGTTGTGCATGGTTCAAAATGTGACTTCCCAGGGTTCTGATCCTGGAGACCTACACAGCCCTGAGCACAGGGTTCCTGTCCTCCTAGGGCCCACGGTCAGCCCCCATGGGCCATATTTATGTCCACACTGCCCCAGGTTCACCTCCTTCCTATGTTGAGGCCTCCCAGGATTGAAGGATA